TATCAAATTTGTGTGCAGAAATAGGCAAATAGATATCGTTCTAATAATAATTGTTAGTATTATTTCTGTTATTTAATAACGTCTATTATAACTTTTTGATCACAACTATCTTCGAAAATCACTAAGGTATTTGTTACAAAAAGATAAGTTTTAAAGTTAGATTAGCGTTTTAATGTAGCTTTAGAACACCAAGATACCTCAACTCTCTCTTGCACCCCGATGCCCCTTTATATATTTTGAGTTTCATGAAAGATAGGTATTTTGAAGGTTACTATATATTTAGATATAGTAACGAGAGCTATGATAAATACATATGAATTATGGGAAAGATTAAACCTACATCATTATTGAGTTATCAGATAAGAATCTTACAAATAACTGTTGGGGTATCACGTAGGGGGTGATAATCTGAGTACTTGGATTGCTTAAGGATCGTGTAAGTTCACTTTCCGAATTGATATTTCTCCCCTATGCCTGGGTTACAAGAAATTCAATCTAGGATAATCCTTAAGGACACTCTAGAACTTAGGCACAAGAACTAGAGCCAAACTAGTGAGTATATGGATTGCTCTCTTTAATTTGAGTGCCAAAGTGATGAAGATATGTTGGATATGATTCCTCCTTCTCCTCTGTACGAAATATGGTGGTATCTATCCATATTCATCGTCCTAGGCAGTTGTAACACGATTAAGAATAACCGCAGCACTTTTTGGAAAACTGCTGGAAACTGCCTAACCGTTCTAGAACTCGGTCTAGAACCACAAAGCTGGTCTACTGAAAGTTATACCTCGAGTTCTACCTCGAGTTCCACTAACGTAGACACTTTGGAACAAAACTAGTTCTTATATACAAGTGTGCACTCCACACCTACTAATTTGTATTAGATCATAGATCTAATTCCCATTGGCACTCATGTCATTTCCAATTACACAAAACGGCCGGTGACACTAAAATCACCAACAATCCTCCCCCATTTTAGTGTAACCCATGAAATGACATAACAAAGCTTACAAACCAAAACTTGCACATAAATTGAAATGTCGATACGATTGAATTTCCATCTTAGTATTTTACGCATTCAAAATATTCGAGAATCGGGGTGTCCTACGGATTGAACCCTTCAACCCATTTGAATACCTCAAGATAAAATACATACAAGTTTCAATACTCAACTAGAATACAAACTTGACACAATTATACAGCCGTGTGTCCTAATCCCATTCATGATCGTATAAAAGCCAAGTCCCAAGCTTTTTGAAGTGCGGCTACACTTCACGATCATATAAGTAATTCCTTTACTCGTGTACCTGCTTACACTTTATCAAAGGAATTATTAAGAAATAAATTCAGCCTCCCTACTACAGGTCCGAACACACACCTTGGGATGATTTTCATTGTGTGTTCCAATCCATTAAGTGTGAGCTTTCCGCATTGAATTCAGCCTCTAACGTTGTATAAGAGGGGAATTGGGTGTCTCACCATTAAGGATTAAATGGACTTTAAACCCATCCCTATAACAGACTTGTGCACTAAGTCCCGGGCCAAACTTTTGGTCAAGTGGTCCGCCAAGTTATGTTGCGATCTTACAAATTCCACCGAAATTACACCATTCATGATTAGTTCTCTAATCATACTATGTCTAACACCTAAGTGTCTAGACTTGCCATTATAAACATGACTATACGCCTTAGCCAAAGTGGCAGCACTATCACAATGGATAGAAATAGGTGCAATCGGCTTCCCCCACAATGGAATCTCAAAAATTAAATTTCTTAACCACTCCGCCTCTTTACCGGCGGTAGCCAACGCAACAAACTCAGATTCCATCGTTGAACTTGTGATACAAGTTTGCTTCTTGGATGCCCAAGAAATGGCACCTCCCCCAAGCAAAAATACCCAACCACTTGTAGAAGAGTGATCCTCTACATTGGATATCCAACTTGCATCCGAATATCCTTCTAATACCGAAGGATACTCAAAGTAACACAAACCATAATCCATGGTTCCCTTTAAATACTTGAACACTCTCTTCATTTCTTGCCAATGTTGAGTACTAGGATTACTAGTAAACCGGCTCAACCTACCCACGGCATAAGCAATATCCGGCCGAGTGCTTGTCATGGCATACATTAAACTACCAATAGCTTGAGAGTACTCAAGTTGTGATACCGCCTTTCCTTTATTAGGCATCAACTTCACACTAGGATCCATGGGAGTACCAACAGGTGAACAATCACTATAATTAAACCTTTTGAGAATATTCTCAACATAGTGAGCTTGTGTCAAAGCAATCCCTTTGTTTACCCGTTTAATCCTTATACCAAGGATCACATCCGCCTCCCCCATGTCCTTCATGGAAAACCTTGATGATAACAACCTTTTGGTTTCATCAACCTGATTTTGGTCCGTTCCAAAAATCAGCATGTCATCAACATAGAGACATATGATCACACCCGCTCCGAATGCATTAAATCGGCTATAGACACACTTGCACTAGTGGAAAAACATTAATTAGAGGCGCTTCATTTGAGGCGCTTTAAACAGAAAGCGCCTCGTTTGTTGTAAAAAAACGAATTTCGGACACGTGCGGCGCTTCTTGACATCTAAATGCCTGTAATATATATATATTTTTATATTTCGTCCCGCGTGCGGCGCTTCTAACAAAAGAAGCGCCTCTAATAAAAACAAAATAAAAAATTGCGGAACGCGTGCGGCGCTTCTAATAAAAGAAGTGCCTCGAATCATAAAATTTAAAAATTACTACGGACGGCGTGCGGCGCTTTAAATATTAAGCGCCTCTAATAGATTTGAAATTTTTAACCTAGCTCGATCGAACCCTTTCATTCCTTAGGCGGCAAAAAACTGGAAGGCCACAGCAGCTTCTACGACCAGCGGCGTATAAGCCGTACGACGATCCGGCCCTGCGGGACTTTGCTTCGAAAACGATGAACAGCCGCTGATAGAGACCACCGCAGCCGTATCCCCTGCCTCTTCGGAGCTGTGTTGCGACGACGTTGAGCCTTCCTACCCCACGCCATAAAGCGACCTCGACCCTCTGCGACTGACCTTTGAAGAACTACTGGCTGTCTACTGCGACGAGGGGTTGCGACGGAGAGTTCCGATGACCCACGAGTTCACGTCCTAGTCGCAGCTCTGCCGCCGCTGTGGACACTCAATTTGGACATCTTCTGCAGCCCTAGCCACTGCTCTACGGCCACTGGGGACATCGTTGTAGGCCGACTCTTAAACTAGGTCAGCAACGTAATCTTTAATCTTTAATCCTCTGTTGTTAATAATTTCAATTTATAGTTTTTTATGGTTAAAATATTCTGATTTTCAGTTTTATTTGGTAATAACTTTCTATTTTTGTAGGAGTTTTATATTATTTTAATCTGAAATTATTTTATTTTATATTCAAGGCATGATGATACCTTTTAGTTGTTGTATTGTGGCATTATTGTATTGTGGCATTATGGTGTATATTTAGTTGTTTACCAATTGAAGAACTAACCACTTTCAACAATTGTGGACCAATTCAATTGAAAATCTGCTACATCGTTTACCAAATAAAACAAAAAAAACCAGCTGAAACACTTACTAACTGAACCAAAAAACCAGCTGCAAAAATCTACCAATTCAAGAACTAACCACTTCCAACAATTGTGAACCAATTCAAATGAAAACCTGCTGCATTATTTGTATTGTGGCATTATTGTGTATATTTAGTTGTTTGTTTTTGTTTTTAAATTAGAAATGAAAACGGGAAGAGCTGTGTTTTTGAACTTAGGAAACAAAGGAAACAACGTTTGAAGTGTTTAATATGTTTTACTTGGCAAATGTTGGTGCTGTTTTTTTGTTTTAATTTGTAATTGTTGCAGTATGGTTTGGTAAATGTTGGTGCTAGCTTTTGGTAAATGTTGCTGCTGGTTTTTGGTAGAGGGTTGGCAATGATTTAACATACAATATGCTGCACACCATGTGTAGAAAAGGAAAATATAAAATCAGTTAAAGGTACAAGATTTTAATGACTTTTGGATCCCCACCAAGCGGATAAAAGTCCAACCCAGACTCAAACAAACTCTCTAAAATTGCAGCTGTTTATTTTTGTTTTAGTTAGTAAGTGTTGCAGCTGGTTTTTTGTTTTAATTGGTTATTGTTGCAGCAGGTTTTCATTTGAATTGGTTCACAATTGTTGGAAGTGGTTAGTTCTTGAATTGGTAAACTTTTGCAGCTGGTTTTTTGATCCAGTTAGTAAGTGTTGCAGCTGGTTTTTTTGTTTTATTTGGTAAACGATGTAGCATATTTTCATTTGAATTGGTCCACAATAGTTGAAAGTGGTTAGTTCTTCAATTGGTAAACTTTGCATTTGCTCACCTGATACATATTTGAAGAACTAACCACTTTGCATTTGTCAGCTGTCCGTCAGCCGAGCCACGCCGCGGCACGTACCTGCGACGACATCGGCCCCGTCACCTCCTACCGTTGCTCTGCCACCGTTGTGGACTCCGATTTTGGATATTGTCACCGGCAGAATCGTAAACTAGGTCAGCAACTTAATCTTTCAATTCTCCGTTGTTAATAATTTCATTTTTGTTTTGTTTTAGGGCTAAATAATCTCCCGTTAGTCAGGGAGAGCATACTTGATACTCTTACAGATGATTGATACTCTTACAGATGATGTTTTGGAGTTACACGAGGCATTGCAGTGGTTTGAAGAAGAAGATTGTAAGTTCTCTGTCCATCTTTCTACAGATGTGTTCTGTTTTCAGGAAAATAGTCCGTTTGGGGCTACAATTGATCGTGATGAGTTGTCTCGATTTCTTGAGGGGGACTCGCTTGAGATTTGTATCATTCAGACTTTCTTGCTGACGTTGCTGTAAGTATTCAATATATTTTACTTTTAAATTAAGTAAATGTTTTTTAGGTGCTCTATGTGTGATAGTATTTATGTATGTGCAGTTGTTTAAAAGAAAAGTTAGTTGAGCTTGGCCGTGACGACATTGGCTTTTTGTGCCCTCACCTGTGCTGTTTTGAACATTATAAACTGGACAAAAAGGGCACAATGACTTACTTGAAACATGCTTTGATAAAGTCCTTTGAAAAGTCATTCATTTTTCTTCCATACCATGAAGGGTAAAACATATACAATATATCTTCATTGAAATAATTCTTGTGATACGTTGTTGATTTATTGTGTTATTTTATACAATATAGGTATCATTGGATTCTGCTTGTCATTTGCCCTATGGTCGATAAGGGATATGTTTTTGATTCCATGTCGAGTTCTTCTAGCATTAGTATTCAAAGAGACTTAACCACGTTAGTATTATATATATATATATATATATATATATATATATATTTGTTTGAATAAACTTAATTTACATATTAATATATAAACACATGTATATATGTAAACATAATGTTTGTTTGAATTTGTAGAATGTACAGGGTTGCATCCGCACAAAAAGGTAGCGGTAAGCCAATTAAATGGAATAGTGTGAAGGTATGTTCCATCCTTTCTATCCTACAATTAATGAGAGGAAAGTAATCTTGAAATAGAATTTTGATTCTTGTACATGTGATGTGAACTATACAGGTTGCACAACAAACCGGAAGTACTGAATGTGGATATTATGTCATGAGATTCATGTGGGAAATAATATCATACTCTGAAAATCATGATATTGGAAAGTTATGAATAAATTGTGAGTTTGCGAAGTTATTTATTATATATATATATATATATATATATATATATATATATTGTATTGTAATTAAATTGAAATATATTTATGATCATTTCATTACATTTCAGGTATGGCGTTCAAGAAGTGAACCATACACATTAGAAGAGTTCAATGATATCAGAAATGTATGGTCAAGATACTTTCTTGATGTTGTATTGTAAAGTTGAGAAAAAACTACTTAGCCAAACAATTTGTAATGTATGAATATTGATAGGATGTTTAATTAAACACATACGAATTGATTGTGCATTATGCTTTTTTTATAGATGATATGGTACTGTTTTATCGGATATGTTTGATTGTATGGAGTTAGTTTTATGTATTTTTACGTATTATGAACAGGGAATCTAGCTAAATTTTTATTATAAATGCTTTTAATTAAATAAAATTTCAGAGGCGCTTCAACCTATAAAGCGCCTCTAAAACTATCCGTTAAATTCACATTCAGAGGCGCTTTTGAGCAAATAAGCGCCGCACGCGGCACAAAGATTTTCAAATTCAGAGGCGCTTGTGAGCAAATAAGCGCCGCACGCGTCACACAGATTTTCAAATTTAGAGGCGCTTGTGAGCAAATAAGCGCCGCACGCGTCACACAGATTTTCAAATTTAGAGGCGCTTGTGAGCAAAGAAGCGCCTCTAAAAACACGTTGCGGCACTATTCATTAGAGGCGCCATAAAGCGCCGCACGTGTTAAAAAAAAAAGCGCCGCACGTGTTAAAAAAAAAAGCGCCTCTAAATGACGTTTTTGCACCTGTGTTGTCCGATTGGTTTAAACTAAAACCATTGGACAAAATAACTTCATCAAACTTTTGATGCCATTGTTTGGGTGCTTGTTTCAGCCCATACAATGATTTAACAAGTTTACAAACCTTATGCTCATTTCCCGGCATAACAAAACCTTCCGGTTGTTTCATGTAAACTTCCTCATCAAGATCACCATTTAAAAATGCCGTCTTGACATCCATCTGATGTATAATCATATTGTGTATAGCCGCCAAAGCAATTAACAACCTAATGGTTGTAATTCGAGCAACCGGTGCATACGTGTCAAAATAGTCAATCCCGGGTTTTTGTCTAAAACCTTGAATGACCAACCGAGCCTTGAACCTGTCAACAGTTCCATCCACTTTCATCTTCTTTTTGAAGATCCATTTGCAACCTAAGGGTTTAGAACCCGGTGGCAAATCCGACAACACCCAAGTGTTGTTCTCCATAATTGATGATATTTCATCATCAATTGCCTCCTTCCAAAAGGCAACATCTCGGGATTCCATTGCCTCTTTAAAGGTCTTTGGATCATCCTCAACTTGGTAACAATATGAATATTGTACCCCCGTTTCATCCCTTGAACCTTCCACTAAATACAAGTGAAAATCAGGACCAAAGTCTTTCACGATGCGGCCTCGTTTGCTTTCCTTATTTGTGGTGCTTCGGGATTCAAAACACCATCCAAACATTCTGGAACTTGCACCTTACTAGTGCCTGGAACTAGGTCCTTTGGTCTTTGAATTGATGAAAATGTCATCTCATCAAAGATCACATCCCGAGACTCAATCACGGTGTTAACCGCTACCGCATCGTTAGGTTCTATTACATAAAACCTATAAGCCTTGGAATTTTCAGCATACCCTATGAATATGCAATCAATTCCGCTTTCCCCCAAAGTTTTCCTTTTGGGCTCGGGCAATTTTACAACCGCCCTACAACCCCAAACCCGAAAATATTTCAAATTCGGCGCTTTCTTGTACCAAAGCTCATATGGGGTAGTCTTGTTCCTTTTATTTGGAACCCTATTTAGAACATAGCAGGCCGTGAGCATGGCCTCTCCCCAAAACCCTTCACTCAAACCCGAGTAGGAAAGCATGGAATTAACCATTTCCTTTAACACTCGATTTTTCCGTTCGGCCACACCATTTTGTTGTGGTGTATACGGAGCCGTGGTCTCATGAATGATTCCAACAGATTGAAAATAATGGGGATCCATATATTCTCCTCCCCGATCAGTCCTAAGACATTTAATTGAATTACCCAATTGCAATTCAGCCTCGGTTTTATACACTTTAAATTTCTCTAAAGCTTCATCCTTTGTGTGTAATAAATACACATAACAAAACCGCGTCGAATCATCAATAAAAGTAACAACATACTTTTTATTGCCAAGGGAAGGAGTTGAGTGAAAGTCACATAGATCACTATGTACAAGATCCAAAATAGCCGAATTCCTTTCAACATTAGGAAACGGTTGTTTTGTGATCTTAGTAAGCATGCAAGTCCTACACTTATCATCATTAATACCAAAAGCAGGAATTAAATCATCTTTAGACATTTCATGCATTTTTCTAAAATTAATGTGAGCTAGTCTAGCATGCCAAATCATACAATCATTCATGGAAGATGCCACAAAAACAGAATTATCACTAGGAATTAATTTATTCACAACATTTAAACGAAACATGCGATTTGATAAATATCCAAAACCAACAAACACACCACCCTTGGACAGAATATATTTATCGGATTCAATCACTTGTTTGAACCCTAAATTATTCAACATACTTCCCGAAACAAGATTCTTTCGAACCTTCGGTACATACAAAACATCAAACAACGTAATTGTTTTCCCAGAAGTAAATTGTAAAACAACTACACCCTTTCCCAAGATAGGCACCATTGACTCGTCTCCCATGCGTAATAAGGAACCGACCTCCACTTGTTCTAGGTCTTCAAACCATCATTTATCCTTACACACATGGCTCGTAGCCCCCGAGTCAATCCACCATGCACAGTCATCATCCTGTACATAAAAAGATTCTGGAATGAGTGATACATAATTCTGGACAGAATTATCAAAGTTAGTCAGGAACTGACCTCCTTTCCGTGGAACCAGGTCCTTAGACCGTTCCTGTCCACTGCCACTCGTTCCAGCGCCATTCTTGTTCAGTTTCACACGGCAATCACGCTTGACATGTCCAACCTTTTGACACCTCCAACAAACCAAACCTTTCGGTTTCTTGTTGGGTTTGTCATGGTCTTCATACTTGCGCTTTTTGCCTTTCCCCTTATCTTTCGGGTTAGATTTATTATCCTCAACCAAGTGAACATGAGCCATTCTAGATTCAACTTCACCCATAATTTGGTCATTCTCTTGCACACGAAGATTCTCCTCAATGCGCAAGTGACTCCCAAGTTGAACCAAGGACAGTTCCTCATCTTGATGTTTTAAAGAACGTTTAAAATCCTTCCAAGAGGGTGGAAGTTTGTCAATTATACTCGACACGGCATAGGACTCATCAACACCTATCTTGTGGAGTTTAAATTGACCAAGAACACGAAGGAGTTCATTGTATTGTTCCATAACCGGCCTTGAGTCAACCATTTTATAATTATTAAAATCACTCACCAAGAACTTCTTACTAGAAGCATCCTCGGCGATGTATTTTGACTCAAGAGAATTCCACAATTCCTTCGCACTCTCAACGTTTTGGTAAATATCAAATAACGCATCGGACATACCGTTAAGGATGTGGCCTCTACATATGTAGTCATCGTTCTCCCACTTGTTGTGCCTCCTAGTTTGTTCCAAGGTTTCATCTTCCATCACCTCCGGCATTGGAGTGTTCAACACGTACACAACCTTCAATGTGGTGAGAAGAAAGTGCATCTTTTTCTGCCATCTACGGAAGTCGTTCCCTTGAAACTTGTCCAATTTGTTGAACTTGGATGTCATCTCTTCCACGGTACTCATGATTATCACAAAAGGAATATCAATTCGATTGTTGGGGTATCACGTAGGGGGTGATAATATGAGTACTTGGATTGCTTAAGGATCGTGTAAGTTCACTTTCGAATTGATATTTCTCCCCTATGCCTGGGTTACAAGAAATTCAATCTAGGATAATCCTTAAGGACACTCTAAAACTTAGGCACAAGAACTAGAGCCAAACTAGTGAGTATATGGATTGCTCTCTTTAATTTGAGTGCCAAAGTGATGAAGATATGTTGGATATGATTCCTCCTTCTCCTCTGTACGAAATATGGTGGTATCTATCCATATTCATCGTCCTAGGCAGTTGTAACACGATTAAGAATAACCGCAACAGTTTTTGGGAAACTGCTGGAAACTGCCTAACCGTTCTAGAACTCGGTCTAGAACCACAGAGCTGGTCTACTGAAAGTTATACCTCGAGTTCTACCTCGAGTTCCACTAACGTAGACACTTTGGAACTAAACTAGTTCTTATATACAAGTGTGCACTCCACACCTACTAACTTGTATAAGATCATAGTTCTAATTCCCATTGGCACTCTTGTCATTTCCAATTACACAAAACGGCCGGTGACACTAAAATCATCAACAATAACTCACAAATATCTTATTGCTCTGCCCTTTACGTTGAATGACTACAATGCATAGAGTGTCAAAAGTTAATATCAAGGTTATTTAAACTCATAAGCTGAGTGGTTTTAGATATAAAGCTTTAACAGACAATATACGCTAAATCAGTCGTAATTAAGATAGTACATTCTATCTTAACATCAAGTAATTCCTACAGGGTTATATAACGGGATATACTTAATGCGTATATTGTAAACAGCTCTTAAATCACTTGTAATAAGTAGTGCTGGAAATTATATGAGAGGTAAATTTTTGCATATGAGTGTAAAAATGTTTAGTCACAGATTGAGGTTGCCGTTGTATGGTACACATTCCCTTTAGTAATGCATTATGTGTCCTAGAAAGGGAGAAAACCCTTATATCGCCTAAACCTTGAGTGTACAACCAAGCTAAGGACAGTTTACTTGTGAAAAATTAAGGTAAAACTGTGTATATATCTGCAATGTGTCTAGGTATTCTATCATTAATGGTAAACAAATCACGGACAAGAATTGAATTTAATACCCTGATTATTAATCCATCTTTAGAATACAATGATTTAGTGTTTTGTATAGATCTGATGAAGGGGATTTATGAGCATATAGTAAGTGTTTACGCCTGAAGATCATCACAATGGATATGTTAAACAAAATAGGTTAAATAATATTAGGTTATACAATAATGTAATGATTAACAAATTATAACTTGGGATGATTTAACTATCCAAGTTATTTGATCCTCTTTATTATCTTAAATAATTATACATTTTAAGTTTATATTATAACAAGATAACAGTCCATAATATTGTAAACCTC